AGACCTGCCTGCTGATTGTGCTGGAGATCAGTGTGTTGGCAAATACATGGAGTGCGTTTTACTCGTGGCCATCCCACCCTGGGAACGCTCTATCTTGTCTGATCTCGAAAGTTAAGCAGTATCGGGTTCAAAGCTGGTCTCGGGTTCGACGACGATATAGAAGACGACGATATAGAATGCCCGCCTTCCCGAGTCTGGACAGTCATGAGTGGCGGGGTGTGTGGGATAGTATGGACAGGTATCTAGGCCAGTGGGCCCCTCCAGTGCTTTGGAACTTCACCACCGAACAAGTGGAAAACCTAGTAAAACACTTAAAAGAGGTGTGCTGTCATCCTGGTTATAGCAGAGAGGGACAAATCATGGCAACGTGCTGGGGCTTGGCCTACACCTACAGAGCCCTGCTCAACACTATTCAGCACTTTCCACTCTCTTCTCTCTTCCACTCACGCAGCAAAGGAAATGTGTGTGCATTTGTCTACATAAATAGCTATGTGCGTGCACTGAAAATAAGAGGCAACTGAGTTATGACAGTGACCTGTAGCCAAAAATTACAGTTGAACACCCAGTGAGTTCTGAGAGAGGGTTTTGAGGATTACCATCTCAAAAAGATTGCACCAAGGCAACTGAACCGATTGTCTGGTTTGAGATCTACAAGTTGAACTTAAAACAAAAGTGTACCAGTATGTTTATTGCACTATTGAGCGAGCTGAAGTAGTCTGGGACTTCTCAAGAGTTGCCTGTTTTATTACTCATGTTATCTTTATTGCATGATAAGATAGTTTGACAAATGAAAGTCCAAAACCTGAAATAATTGATGCTATGATAACGGTGCTCTCTGTGGCATACAGTGACACTAACATTATTTATGATATACCAGCATTTGGAGAAATTACACTGCCACCTGCTTATGTAGAATGAGCTGTGTATGACAGAAACAGGTTCCCAACATGTTGTAATAATGAAACGATTTGCTGTTACTCCTCTGACAACCAGCAGCAGCTCCCCCCTAAGGAATGTGGAGCATTGCCCACAAAGTATTTGTTCTGTCCTCTCTCTAATTGTTCAAGCTGGAAGGAAGGAAAGAAAAGCTTCACTTTCTCCAACTATCCACAGACTCCTGCAAGACAACAGGTACAAAGCTGAAACCATGTTAAAATACATCTTTATGTTGGTTTACATTGATTTTTAGAACACTTAAGGCAATCGATTTAATAATATTTTCTCTGAGAAATGTGATCTGAATGACAAACCCTACATGACCACAGAATGAAAGCAAGTGCAGAGATACATGCAGGAGGTCCTTCAGAGAAGTGACATGAGTCCCATTAGTTGTGGTTCATTTATTTTTGGTTTCTTGGTTGTGAGGCCATGTACAGTGCTACTAGACAGTAGATAGTCCCGCCTATTGTTAGAGCCATCGTGGTCCGATAAAGCAGCCTATCTGGAACTCCTCGTTTCAGGTGTACTGGCAGCCCATCTGGCTTCTGTGGGGAAGAGTTAAAAAGAAAACAAACAGAAAAGAAAAAAAGTGAACACCCATACCAAGACCATAAGGAATAAGCTTAATTCAGGTGAATTAAGAGAATTCCAAGTGGGAAACCTCCTGGCAAATAGGCTATCTGCAGTCAAGTGTATTACATAGTTTTCATTTAGCAAGACAAATGCAAAGGCAAGTTAATTTATTAGCCAAAGCTGTTAGTGCAGGCAGAGAGAATATATCTTGTAATATTTCTCAACAGGACCAGGGTGGAAGAAGTGTCACTAAGAAACAAATGTGAAAAGATACATATAAAAAGTGATTCACCAAGTCAGCCTGACACATTCCAAATGCAAGCAGTGGGTAAGAGAAAAGAGGGAACATATAAAGCACATGCTTGAACCTTCTTAAAAATTAACTGATTTGTTTTATGAGAAGTCCTAGTACACTTAGAAATTGCGTAACTAACAAACTGGCTTTGAAAACTTTACTGTGCTCTTCTACCGCCTTACAAACAACTTCAGTCAAAGTATTATACATACAACAGTAATGATCTGCTCTGCTCCTTCAGATCTGCTTTAAGGCAGACACTTGGATTCCCAGGCAGAAAGTGTTTCCAGTTGCAAAATAACACAATAAGCATCTTCTGAAGCCAGGGAAAAGACAGACAATGTTACTAGACTTTCCACTTTCTATATTTACCTCCTCTGTAAGACATATACTACCTTGTAGTACAGTACAAGTATATAGGTTATACTGTACTTGACATTTTCTTAACTAGAAAATGTTGGTACTGTAGAATGACAGAGGTAGTTAGCTGCATTAGAATATGGAAAGATATGTCTCACTCTTGTTTTCTTTAAGTTACTCTTGAATTTTTCATTACCTGAAAAAGTTTCTGTAGGTCTGGCACCTTGTTTTTACCCAAGAAAGAATCAGTTGCTGGTAAACCTGAAGCAAGTTTATCTGTTGTCAGAGCTGGGGATTCAGTGGAAACTATTGGTTTGAGTCCCTGCGTAAATAAAGATTAAAATATCAAGGAATATAACACTTGCAAATGCACCAATTGTCACATTAGGCAGGCACTGCCAGTCATTACAAGAGTACATTACAAACAATATTTATCTGGTATGAAGACCTGTGACAGTGAGCTAAAGACATGTGGTTGGCACACTGGTTTCCGAGCTACAACTCTGGGTCAGGGCTTAGCTGGAGCATGGAAGCCTCCTTTCTGATTTCTCAAGGTACTCCCCATGAGCAGCTTTGCATGGCTGAAGAGAAATCCTCAGTGTAAGAACAGTTGCCTATAGGGATAGTGGGGAGGGACTCTTCATCAGGGACTGTAGTGATAGGACAAGGGGTGATGGGTTCAAACTGGAACAGCTTTAGTTCAGATTACATACAAGGAAGAAGCTCTTCCCTGTGAGGGTGCTGAGGCACTCGGATGGGTTGCCCAAGGAAGTTGTGAATGCTCCAACCCTGGAGGTGTTCAAGGCCAGGCTTGACAGAGCCTTGGGTGACATGGTTTAGTGTGAGGTGTCCCTGCCCATGGCAGGGGGGTTGGAGCTAGATGATCTTAAGGTCCTTTCCAACCCAAACTGTTCTATGATTCTATGATTTCAGTACAAATAATTTTTTAAGCAAGTCATTAGGACACCTTAAATGACCCTTAATTGTCACTTGTATTCAACACGACTAGAACTGCAGATGTCATTAACATCAGTCTTGCTACACTCAGGATAGCACTGAGGAATGAATGCCTCTAAGCATTTGACCTATGCTTCCTAAGAAAACGTTTCACATTGATAATACCTCTTCTGCTACTGAGGTGTTAATCTTTTCTTTCTAGTCATGTTAACAGGAACTTATTCCAATCCTTGGACAAAGTACAGCAGATGTGCTCGTGCAGAAGAGTCAACATCAGCTGATTTCATCAGCACTGCTGATGTCCTCAATGAAATCCAAAGCAACAAACAAAATTACCTGCCTAGCCCTCTGTAAAGTGTATTTGTTTTCCTGTCAGAGGCCTGAAGGTTTCAGGACCTGATCTACCTGTTGGCTGGTAACATTCACAAAGCTAAAAGGAACTTGTGCCTTGCTAGCATGAATTCCCAAGTTAGATTTACATTTCTATGACAGCATAAAACAGTTAAGGATTTGGAGCAGTTGCATGGCAATACCACCACACTTAAGCTATTGCTTATTAGGGGAATTGCTCAAACAGATCAGAGAATCAGAAAGTAGAGAAAACTGAGGTAAGGACCAAAATGACAAACAGGAAACAGGTAAGAAAGTTAAGCTGAGAATTCTTACTTCAGAGCATGCATTGAAGTAGCTTTTATGGACTTGCTGAACCTAGACACTTCTAAATAGTATGTCCTTCATAGTAGAACATACCTCACTGTAAGAGGTTAAATATATTTGTTGCCACAAATTAACACAATTAACACAAGGATATTGACACAAGGATTCGTTTAGGTAGGATCACTTGAGGCTTTGTTTGTATTGGGATGACACAAGTAAGTAAAAGTGATTTTTGTGTACGTTTTAAGTATCACCTACAGCACAGGTTAACCATTATAATTTCTCAACAAACTCCAAGCAATTCATAACAGCTAAAATCACAAGATCTGTGGTTTGTGGGGTTTTTAAATAGCCACAAGCAAAACAAGTTGCAACAAGTCAAGATATGGTAGTATGACTAAATTTCTACTAGGGTCAGTGCCAGCCCTGACCTAGGGAAAAGCTCACATAGTCATCCTCACCTGACAGCATTTGAAACTGATCCCTCTCTTTGTACTTTAAACACCACCCAACTACTTGAATTAATAGTTTTTATTGTATTTGTAACAGTTATGGCAGTTATCCTCCTAAATATGAGTAGTAGTTTTTAACCCCCTGTTTATTCAAACAGGCTAAGCTGTTCATACTACTGTATATAACTTTGTTAAATGCAAAATTAAGTCTTCTAAGAATGCCAGCACTGAGATGGAAAGAACACCACAGGTTTCAGACTATGAGGTTTATTCTGTTAGTATAAGCTGTTAGGTTACTTCTGAAATACATTTTGACTGATATTTTGCAAGCCCCCAATAAGCTTAAGCCTGCATTAGAATAATACTCCACTTGGAAGCATCAGAATGGAAAAGCACAGAATAGAGTGAACTGTTATACTGCATATTTGAGCAAGCAGAATTTGAGTTGCAGGATGTCTTCATTTTTGCAGAAACATCAAGACAAATAGAAGCATAAACAGCAAACCATTTTACATGCTGAGCTTTATTAAATACAGCAATGATATCAGTGGGGGAAAAAAAATTACTTCATTTTGGATTTAACATCTACTCGCTCAAAGAAAGTCTACTTATTGCAAACAGTTTTATCAGACTGATGCACCTGAATGTGCCACGTGGGAGTAGAGTCAAACTGAAACAAAAAGAGACAAATTCTACCAAAAAGGTGGCCCCAGAACACTGTAAAAAAGGATTGAAGGTGACTTTTTAAAATGTAGCTATTCTCTGTTCTATTGCATAGCTTGTTCACTTGCTGCAGTTGAGATCTGGGCTGTGTGAATGATGAGCCACATACAAAAGACAGTGTTTATTTCATCAGTATGAAAACACCACACCTATAAAGCAAGACTTGTGTGAATGCTCCTGCTTGGATACAATCTCATCTCCTCCTATTGTATTCTCTCAAAAACTAGGTTTTCACATTTCAGTGGTGACACTGAAATGAAATACAATGCCTGATGATGACCTAGAAAGGAATCACAATGTTACGTAGGAAAAGTATTTCTGTGCTTTGGACATTCTCCTTCCAGCCTTGTAGAGCACACAAGTGAGATCTATCTTGACTTTGTTTCTATCTGCAATGATACTTATCTGTGAAGCTAGTTTTGCATGGACCTTTTACAACCCAGTTATGATATATGACACTATATATATATATATATATATTTATATGACTTTCATCTAGAAGATGGCAAGAATTCACCATTTATTGAGTCTTTCTGTATCTAGTACAATGATATTCATACCTAATATCCATGAACAGAATGTGGGATAATAGAGAATTCTCTATTCCCTTCTTATCTTGCTTCTGTCTTTTTAATCCCCCAAAAAATAAAGATACACTTAAAATGGGATGATTGTTATAATGCAACGGAGTCTGCTGAACAGAAAGGTAATACTCCACAACCTGGGCTCCAGAAGCCAAATGTCCTTAGGACAGTTTTACTCCAGGTGGTTTATCAGAGCTTTCTGTATTTCTATGTTGGGATTTCTCTCTTAGGATCCTACAAGTGATGCATTATTTACAGAAAAATAGTCACAGTGACCTAAAGCCTAATACATGGTGTTCTAAGCTATATTCTTCCAGAAAGGAGGTACTTCCCTGCTTGGGCTTGGAGCCCTTTTGCCCACACCTGTGAAGGTAACCCCAGCCTTCGCTTTCCTCTACACAAATTAAGTGTCAATTAGTGTTTATTATTTGGCTATGACTTTGTGTAGAAGAGGTAATAATGCAACAGTGGCAAGTGTATTCTAGCACAGGAGCCTGTTGGACATATGCTTAATGAACAGATGTACTTTTAGACTGGAAAACACTATTTATCCTACTGTTTTCCCTGTGCCCTGCAGCGCTATAACTACTAGGAAGCCTTCCAAAGAGTGATGGGAAAAGAGTAAGACCAAAATCTTCTTGGGTAAGAAACTGCTATATCAGAAAGGCACAGGTACCCCACTGTTTACTTAAGATCTTGTGGTAATGCAGGATAGAAGGGCCCTCTAGAGCTCTTCAGTCCAAACTAAGGTGAGAGCAGGCTGCTGGGCGTATTCTCTGGTCTGGCCTTGAAAGCCTCCAAGGCTGGAAACTGTACAACCTCCTTGACTGTTCCCACCATGAAAACCTCATTCCTTATATCCAGTTTGAACATCTCTTGCTGCAACTTACCCCTGCTGTCTTTTGCCCTCCCACCATGCACCACTGTGCAGAGCCTGGCTCCACTGTCTTAATAACTTCCCTTTAGATGCTGGCTGGTCTTAGGTCTGCACCTAACCCCTCACCCCTACACCTTCTTTTCTCCAGGTAGAACAAGCCCCATTTCCTTGGAAATCACGCCAAGAAAGAATGAAATAGCTTATTTGTGTACAACACCACCACATTAGTCTACAAGAATGTAGTGTCTTCCAGTTACATTTTACTACTGAGTTTAGCAGGAAAAAGAAACTTTGATGTCACTTCTGTATGTACACATGTATCTATTTCCCCCCAAAAGAAACCCCTCAAGTCACGTCAGATGAGACAGGCTGAGAATATTGGGGCTGTTCAGCCTGGAGAAGAGAAGCTGCGTGGAGACCTCAGAGCAGCTGCCAGTGCTCTGAGTGCAAGGACAAAGAGTGATGGGTTCAAACTGAAACAGGGGAAGTTCATATTAGATCTAAGGCAGAAGCTCTTCCCTGTGGGGGTGCTGAGGTGCTGGCACAGGGTGCCCAGAGAAGCTGTGGCTGCCCCATCCCTGGCAGTGTTCAAGGCCAGGTTGGACACAGGGGCTTGGAGCAACCTGCTCTAGTGGAAGGTGTCCCTGCCCATGGCAGGGGGTTGGGACTGGATGAGCTTTAAGGTCCCTTCCAACCCAAACTATTCTGTGACTCTGTATGTCTGTTCTCTGGAGACAGTTCTTTGGAAGGTTTGACTTTTTAAAAATAATCCTTCCAATCCTTAACTTCCAGGGTTTGTGGTGTTTTGTTTTGAGGAATCTGGGGCTTTGGGGCTTTTTTTGTTACTAAACTGCAAGAACATAAGTTTTTCAAAGTTTAGTGAAAAACCTGAATGCTGTTTAGCAACCATGCTGCATTTGGCCCATGACAATATCAAATTACAATCTTCCTAGTATTACTTAGAAATCACTGGTGATGCACATACAAGGCAAACATGTTCTGTGCTTTCTTTAAACCAACAGAAAATGCCTTATGTATTTAATGCCATAACGCTTGGTGCAATCAGGATCTA